GTATATGGGTTTTTTTTTTTTTTGGGGGGGGGTGGGGTGGGGTAAATGTTCTAAAACATTTTTCGATCTAGCTATGATGGTATAATTGATATTGTCAATTAAGTCGTGGTATGTCTTAATCAATGATCTTATTTCAAGTTATTGTTGAGTGGATTTTTTGGAGGGCCATGTCAATGTGACATGCATTACTCAACAAAAGTACATTAAATCACAATTACGTACTCAACTCTTTTTGTACCAGTATTATTATTTTTTATTACTAGATCATGAGAAATTTTTACATGGGTTTAAAACACTACATGACACTGTCATATGGCATACATAACAAAAAAAAAATCGTAAATGTCCAATAAATAGCTGACACATGTCACCTTGTCAAAATTTTTCTTGAAAACTCAACTTTTGTGGCCTCCAAGCTGTTTTTGTGATAGTTTCTTATTAAATATGTACATCATAAAACAGTGTCACATGATATATTAAACTCATACAAAAATTTCTCATATATCATACATGATACCCAAAATGGCTAGCTAATATCAATTTGTTCACACTCTTGCTATGGTTTATATTTGCCTCCAAATACAACTCATTCCCACTCCATTATATGTATAAACTTTAAGACAAAAATGTTCAGAAGGTCAAAAGGAGGACCAATGGGTGAGGACTAAAAGATGAGAGTAGCCACAAAAGAAGAGATTTTTATGTGGAACCAACCCAACCCAACTCAACCATCTCCCTCTTTTCTCATGATCTCTAAATCCATCTCCTATTATTGTCTTCTTTCTTTCTTTCTTTTTTCCTTTTTCTTTATGGGTTGAAAACACACTAAAGTCTATTCTCTTGACTACCAAAAGCAGAATTTAAAAGGGGGCCTAACAAAGACATCTCAAACAATATCTTTGATATTGTCACCCAATTTCAACATTCTTCGCCTTTCACCTTTTCTCCTTTTTGTATGTGGGTGTTTGGTGAATCTAATTGTATCTCAGATCCTTTTTATTCCTCTCTTATGCCTTGTTTTACATGGTTAATGCTGCTAGATCTTGTTCTTCCCCTTTTGCTCTATATTCTTTGCTTCTATTTTTAAATTTCTACATAAAACAAACCACCAAGCTCCCCCCATATATACCCGAGAAAAAGGGAAAGAGGACAAAAACTTTGTCAGCATTCTCCCAGGATACATTTCCTCTCAATTTACTACCATCCGACCTTTCTGGGTGGGGGTCACTTTTACTAAGGTGAGGGTGTGTTTGGATCACAAGGTTAGACCGGATTGAAAGATCTAAAAATATATTCTTTCATATCTAAACTAAATTCACCGATCATTAGACTAGTTAGGATTTAATTACTATATTTTATCGTTTCTAGTGTTTAGATAACACAAAAGTACTTATGTGGGACTCATGGAGAAGGATGATGAAATATGGTATCGTTGACTGTTTTGCCTATAAACTATTCAATTCAATATCATGTTTGGTTTATAAATTAGTCTTTGACTAATTCTAAACAAATTTTTTTTACATGTAATTTTTAAAAATATTGTAATTTCATATCTTCTAAACAGGTGTTTATATGTTACGAGAACTACTGAGAATTAACTCAAACACTCATTAATTAATTATTTTATTATTAATTTTTAATTAATAGTAGTCCAAAGAAGACATTTCTTTATTAGAGTTAATTTATTATTTAAATTAGTTGTCTTGTTGGAGAAGACATCCTAGTTTTCTTGAGGTATGTTGGTAAAACCTTGTTGGACAAAACAAATTTGTTAAAAAAAAAAATGTGAAAAAACAGGAGAAGACGTAGCAGGCGAGAGAGAGAGAGAAAAAGAGAACATGGCAATTCAATCAGTTGAATTAGTTATCCCGTCTGGCAAAAAAAATCCAATCCCCCCCCCCCCCTCCC